CTTCTCACCACACAACCCGCAGCCTCTCTCCCCCCAAAAACACAGCCAATCGATAAAGCCACAGCAGCGTCGCGCTAGTCCGGACTAGCGGCGCGTGAACGGCGGGGAAATAGCGCCTAGTGGTCCGTGCACGGCGCTTGTGAGCAAAGACAAACGGTGACTATTCGCCCGTGGGTAATGAACGCACTTATAACACGGGTGGACTCTGTTCGCGGGACACTACAGGCGGGCTGGCTCAGACGGGACAGAGGCGTTGTCTGCGGCTTCAGGGTTCTGAATAGCGCTGCTGGGACTTTGATCATGTGACTTTGAAGCCGTCTCTAAGGACGCATCCACTTGTCATGCGCTACTCGGAAGTGTTTTCCGACGATGGGACGCAATCATTTTTTTCGCGGATCTTTCGTGCGTATGTAGCGTTTTGCTGTTTCTGTGATTGGTGTTTGCTGCTGTGCGATGATTTGAGCATTAGAAATGTTCTGGGTTTGTTTGTTTTTAAGTTGAGGAATGGTGGATACTTACATTTTCCATTCGTTTCCTTTTAACTTAAGCGCTTCAATTTCTCTTTATTTTCGTTTAGTTTGAAAATAATAGATTCTTCGCATTTTCTTGTTTTGATTTCTTTTCCTTATTGCTATCCCTGTTCGTTCGAAGCTTCTATTTTTCCAGTCTTGTTGTCAGATATGTAGAGTAATGTTTGCCTCAGTTAAAGCAGAAATTGTTAAGTTCCGAAATCCGAATACATTATAAGATAAGTAGATTCCATAGTCTGAAAAGCACAAGTACCCATATTTTCTTTGCTTTAAAGTTCACATTTATATGTTTAAATCACTACCCGAAAATTGACTGGACTGATTTCTGAGACACCGTCGGCTGCGAACTTTGTTACCACATAAAAGACCGAGGTTTCAATGTTCAAGGGGCGTTTTAATTGTTTTGAATTCTGTCGTGATTTGCGGAAACGTGTGTGCATGTGTGTGCGCGTGTGTGTGTGTGTGTGTGTGTGTGTGTGTGTGTGTGTGC